CTTGCCTCTGTGTTAGGTTCCTTGTTCAGTACTTGGGACCCTGCCTGATTTCTTGCATTCAATCTCAGACATTATGAGAAGTGAGGGCATGGTCAGGATGTCCTTAATATCTTCTCAGATTAAACAGGTAAATTGCATTTGGGAAAGATCCCGCAGATTATGGCATAATTGAAGGGTTTCTGGAAAAAAAAAAGTTTTGTGTTAGAGGTGGGAGTGAGTGCATACCTCTCAAATCCCCTCGCTATGAGGATAGCCTTCTGATTAGACCCAAATTTAACTCCATTCCACTCAAGCTTGGTAATATTTTGCTGTATTTCTTTATATCAGAGAGGCAGAAGCCAAATATATTTCAACTAAATAGAAGAATCCATCCTTATTTTGAATGCCCTGTGTGAATAATTGTCTTTTTCACATTTGGATCTTGTCAGGTTAAGAGTCACCATATGGGGGAGAGCTATATTTTTAAGGACTGTGTGTGTGTGTGTGTGTGTGTGTGTGTGTGTGTGTGTGTGTGATGTTTTTGCTTTCCCTTTTCTCTTTCGCTCCCCACCATGCCCTTCTCCAAGCATTTAAAATCGAAAGATACAAAGAAGATACTTTTATTTATAGAATGCTACATAAATAATAAACTGCAGTGACTTCTTGTCTTATCTTGAGAAGCATAATTTACTTGATAAGATCTTATTTTGAATCTTTTGTTAGTATGTTAAGTCACACTAGACGTAACTCATTGCAGTCACTCTATAAGGGCTAAATCCTGACCTGGTTTAATGAGAGTAGGAGGCACACAGGCCCATTACTCTCACACGGGGGAGCTACATTCTAATAGGCCAAATCTCGGGGTGTTGAATAGATCTGGAGCATCTCTGGGGTCATGACCTGCTGAGCAGCTGAAGAGAGTGAGTTCCTTCTTACCCTGACTGGGTCTCTATTCTTATTGAGGTTACCACTGCAGGAGCTCCCATGGAACTGCCATGAGGAATGAAAAGAAGGTGTTTCTTGTGGATGAAGGGGTCTGGATGTTCTCCAAGGAGGGCAATGCCATTCCACCCCAAACCCATGTGGCTCCCTCTAAGGACCTCAGTGACACATTGTCAGTCAGCTGCAGAGATCTGCCCCCTCTTTGGGGTCTGTGGGACTCTGTGTATGTGCATGTCCATGGAGTTCTGCAATGCAGCCATCATTTTTAATATAAGGGTGAAGCCCTTAGAATACATGCTCAGCTCTGTCTTCATTTGATCTAAATGCTTGGATGAAGATGGAGATTGGAGAATTGCATGCTGAAATAGCAGTCTCCATGAACTGCGCTGACACATTAAAAATAAGTGGAGGCAAGGTGTTCCTTTTCATGCATAGAAAATGTGGCCTTCAGGGTCATGGTAGGATGATAATGCAGTCCTGTGTTGTGTTGTGTTTTGTTTTTGGGGGGGGTGGGGTGGGGAAGGATGGATTGTAAAGCTACCTATTCTGAGAATAAGCAAAAAGAGAACAAGCAGCAGCAGAAGAGTTGCATACCACAGACTAACACAAATTTGGTTTGCTTATGACAACTTTATCACTGAATGGTTCTGAGAAAATCCATTCTACATACATGGGACACAGACAAAAGCTAGTCATATCAGTTTTTACAGTCAAAGTCTGTTTGACATTTGCTACAAAGAGATAATAAATTAAACATTATTCAAAATTAGAATTAAAAAAATATTAACTATGCCATTTTGAAACGTGAATATGTAGATGGTATTGTTGACAATGGGTTCTGTTACACAACTGCATCTTAAATTTCCCATCTAAAACTTTTTGCAAAAGCCAACTGAAAATTGGGTGAGACATTATAAATCATGTACTGCAACATTGGGAAACTGAACATATCAGATGCTCATCTGGTATACTGCACTCAACAGCATGGTACTTCAGAGCTCGTATCAGGAGAGAAATATATACCGTACTTTTGCGTTTGGAGCATACTACGTATTATAAAATATTTTTGAATGTCTTAATTTGGGGGAAAAGGTTCACTTCTTGACAATTTCTGTTCCTTCCAAAGAGGAAACAGGAAAAGCTGACTCAGATTCTGGTCCTCCCGGCACTCACTAACATTTCCTGTCCACCTCTGTCAATGACCCAAGCAAACCTGTATTAAAGAGGTAAAACATACACATGCCATCTAATGGTATGGATTTGTAAGAGATGGGATTGGGTGGACTAATGTTTTCCTGCTCTAGCTTCTGTGATCTTATGTATTTTGTACATGTTGCAAAGATCTTATGTAACAATTTCTGCTGAAATCTCACAGTGGGGACAGTACATAAATTGCCACCAGCTTTTGTGGTGTTGTGGGACGACAATAAATGAATGGAGACTTGAGCTTCTACAAACTTTTCTGTAAGTCACTGAACCCCTCTGAACTTCAGCTTCCCAAACTAGAAAAGGTGTGTAATGATGCCTACTGGACAAGATTTACATAGGCTTAATTCATATTTACAATTATTGTTCTTGGCTGAAGGTTCTACAGAAGGGCAAAATATTTTTTTTATTATTTATTATACTCCCTTTTCAATGCTGTAGATTCTTTAAGTCAGTTTTAAATGTAATTTTTGAAGCACAATATCATGTACCCTCTTTGGAAACTGAAAATTATATTTTTACTTTCTCCTGTATTCTCCAATCTACCAAAAACAGACCCTTAGCAGAAGTCAGCAAACTGACATCAGTTCATTTGCCTTTAGGGATAGTAAATTATTGCTCAGCTCAAGTTTAAAAAAAAGAAAGAAAGAGAAAGGAAGGCGTGAGGGGAAAGGGAAAAAAATCTATCACTAACTCTCTCTGGAGTCTGAAGAATGTTCAATCATAGGCTTAAGACGTCCAAACAGTGCAATTGAGGAGAGGGTGGTAGAGTCTGATTCTACGTTGGTGCCGACTTGAACATTGTGAACGTTCTTTATGGAGGCTTTGGAAAGTTTAGGATTGACCTGTTTTTATTGGCTCCCTTGATGATAGACAAACAGGGCTAACCTGAAGCCAACATTGCCAGCAGGAAATTTGGGTCATGTGCAGTTGCATTTTTAAAACTTGTGTTTTAGGAGCTGTTCAATCAGCGTAATTGATTGATTGTAACGAGGCATAGAGAGAGCTCCTTAATCATTAGAGGTGGTTAGATAATGACAAACTGCTAAGGGTTTTGTTTGAGACAAATTTCCCATCTCCCTGTGTTATTCTGGTTGGAAAAGAGGTGGTTTGACCCTTATTTCATGGAGGTTACAGTCCAACTGGCCTGTTTACACCAAATAGCCTTTTAAATTTGGCATTTAAATTTGAAATCCACTGTAACACCATTTCCCAAGAGATAAGAAAAAACATTTCAAAATAGATCATAATCCAAAAATCCAAATGCATGTTTTTAACTTAACAGTTGATTGTAGCTGCTTAAGTTATTATTTCTTTCCTTTTTCTTTGAAGACGTGTTGCTGTTAAGTTTAATTTATACCCTTTCTTTAGTAAATGTTATGTAAATATAAGTGGAAAGGCTCAGGTTTTTAAATGCATTTAGTCATTGACAGTCAATGGGATTTAGGCTCCTAAGTGCCTAAATCACATTTGAACATGAGACATAGGTTCCTGAATTAGTTAGCTGTTGCAATGCTGAACACCGCAATGCCTAAATACCTTTAAAAGTCCGGGCCAAAATTTCAATCAAGTTTGTGTGCAATTTTGCACATACTTATTTCAGGTTCCTGTGTGTGCTCTCAACTAGGAGGTGAGTATGCTCTATTTTGTATGTTCCCAAGCAACACATCCATTTTAGAGGACATGTACACTTAAACAGGGTGCGTGCAAAAAAGAACTTACTCTGTTTGAGAATTTGTGCCTGTTTTTTTATCGGTGTTTATGGGACCAATAAAAACTTGTTGTTGTTCACTGCAGATGGCTTCCTCCATGCAGCTCTTTACAACTGTTTTTCTTCAGTTGTATCATTTTCCATTTTAGGATCAATAGTGATCTGAAATAATAACATCAGTGTATACATACATGTGAAATAATTTGTCACCAAAAACATACTGCTTTCCAAAAACACAGTGAATTATACAGAATTAAAGCTAAGCTAATAATTAAAAACCACCATGGGCTAGATTCTTTCCAGGTACACCGCTATGTCTGAACAGAGTCAGGCAGATCTAGCTTCAGACTTGTCCAAGTTATAAGTCTTTGGAAAATTGTAGTTTGCGCACAGAGACTTCTTCAGTATTAGAAGCTGAAGTCTCTGAAGAGTTTGTCCTTACTGAGTATGCTCCAACCCCTCCCAGGTCATAGTGCTGACCAGATAGCACATGCACTATCCTCACAGAGTGACTGAACATGCTCTGGGGAATGGGGAGGAAGACTATCCTAACACATATGCAACAGGGAGTCAGATTAAAGCATCACAGGCAACTTTAATTCTGGCATTTCCTAACTTTGGAGTACTTGACTTTGCAACCTTCATAAAAGCTAATTGTTTCTGAAAGAAACTCTAATTGAAAAATTGGAAAATATTCAGATAGGGTAACACAGACAGAAAAACTTCTAGGGCCCGAGTCCATCACCATTACTTATGCTGAGGAGTGTGTTACTCTGCAAGTACTCCCAAGAGTGTGCTAGGCTTCTCACAGTCCAGGTGAGAGGACACAATCCTTGCCCCAAGGAGCTTACAAATTTGATGCAGTGAAGGGAATAACAGAAGGAGAGGGGCAACATCAATGAGATTATGCAGTTGCTCCATAAAGGTTAGTTCATGGCATAATGGAGGAGACAGTGCTTGCATTTGTTTTAAATACATTACTTGGTTTGTTTTTTGGTGCTTCCACCAAAAAGTGGTCTTCAGAAGAATCTGAGAACAGTTGAGCAGCCTTGCAGAAGAACTCAGAGCTGTTCCCACACATAGGCAGCAGCATCTGTCTGATGGTGACAAAAATGACCTGTTTATATTATGGAAACCAAGATCTTTTCTTCTCTGTTTTCAGAATATTGGTGAGTCAGAGATACCCAGTGTTTTGAACCAGTTATTGCCTATGATCAAGTCTCATAATGAGAGGACAGCTAATGACTATACCTCTGAAGACTTCCTTGTCTTGCTGGTGTATACTTACTCTGTGGTTGGGGAAATCAAAGCTGGAAAAGAGCTGGATAAAGCTGAAGGAGAGGTGAAAAGGGCACTAGTCCAGACTTTTTGTGATGAACCAGAACTATCTTCCTTACTGCAAAAAATAACAGGTGAGTTTATATATCAGTGCAATGAAAAAACAGTAGGTATGAAATTTGTACCTAAAGAAAGCATAGAAATAGCGTGACTTGTCTGTGGTGGTTAGGGTATGAGAGTAAGCATGAGGATTTCCTGTAGATTATTCCATCACTGATGTGCACAAAAGCCAAATGCTGACAGGTTATCCTGAATAATGCTGAGTCTGGTGAAAGTTCTGTAATTTGTTCTTTTTGTTAAAGAGTAGTTAAGTTTGTATGTTTTCATAAAGTAATCTTTTCCCCAATTTTCTTACATTGATCAGTGTAAAGTTGACCTTGGAAAGTCAAAATTGATCCTGGAAACATGTTCAGCGAACCACAGGGTTGTGAATGCTAGGAACTGCCCAGTCTGTCATAAAAAAAGAATTGTGTCTAAAACTAACATTGAATTTTTTACTGAAATAATAAGCATAGTGAGACCTTTTTGGCAAACACTATAACTTATTAGTGCCTTCTGTAGAATAGCCAAGTAATAACTTGCAGTTGTCCTTGCCACAGACTTAAAAATTGTTTAAAAAAGATTGTAAACACTAGAACTGTAGCAGAAGAGGAGTATTTCAGAATGGAAGGGGGGCTGTGTTGCCCATCTACCATGGGTTCATTTGCCTGTTCGAAGGTATAATTATTATTTGTACTGCATTAGTGCTTAGGAGCCTCAGTCATAGACCATTGTGCTAGGTGACACACAGAACAAAAGGCCAGTCCGTGCCCCAAAGTACTAACAGTCTAAGTTTCTGGCATAATTTTACCACTGTAGTTATATCAGTGTAACTCTCCATGTTTATGTCACTCTGGGAACAGTATAAATTAATCATAAAATGACACTCCTATTCTGGAATAAGCGTGTCCACACGGGGATTTATATTGCTATAACTATAGCAGTATAATTATACCAGTACATTTCCACATGTATAGAAGCTCTTAAGATTATTTTTGTGAGTGCTGGAATGGGAGGTGTGTTCCACCTTAATGTAGTTACACAAATATCATGCACTTACACGCTGCTCCAAAGCCCAGTGAAGATGGTTAGAGCCTTTCCGTTGATTTCAGTGGGACTTGGATTAGTGATATTACTATTAGTGGCATACTGCTTGTAGTTTGCCCATTTTGCCCTTTAGTTTCTAGGGGAGGGGGGTATGTGTGTGAGAGAGCGAAAGAGTGTGTTCTATATTTCTTGCATTCCATTTCTATGACAGTTTTTTCAGTGCATGCGGCTTGTCTTGTGCTAATATAATGTTTCCAAATGACCTCAGTGGTATTCACTGTTGGATATTGTGCAGACCGAACCCTGCTGTGCAGAACTCCATCTTCATGTTTAAGTTTTTCTTCTGTTGATCCATGTTTCGAATCACTGTTTTATAATTTTCTTTAATTGTGACTAACAAAGAAAAAAAATGGGGAGATGCTGAATTATTTAACATTTAATTTCATGAAGAATCAGCAGGGAAACTGCTTTCTGATTTGCACAGAAACTTCGTTTATTGCCCGCTACAGTCTCACAGTCCATCAAAGTTGCTAGTACAAATAGAGACTGGATTACATAGCTCATTGGACTGGAGTAAGCTCTTCACAGTATTCACCAAGTAACGTTAAATTCTAACTATATTTCCATATTTTATACATAGATTTCCTTACTTTTTTCCAGTGTTGTGTGTGTTTGTAGGTTTGCTAAGTAGAAGCAAATGTCAGGCTGTTCAAGGGAACAAGCAAATAAAAAATTATAAATGAAAGTCCAAGTACAAATAGGTTGTATTTTGAAAAAGCAATTCTTTGTTTTCACATTGCAGACATAATCTTTGAACAGTGGAGTTTGAGATGTGCTCCTAATCATCTAAATATTTTTGTACTAGTATGGAGCGGGATCTCATAATTTAGGCACATTTGAAAACTGAGCTCTCTGTCTGCATAATATACCTTGACTCATTTGGAGGGTTTTAGCTGTTTACCAAAAGTTTTGAAAAGTTCATGCTGATGTGTTATAAAGACTTTTGTTTCAGATAAAGGGTTCCATTCACAGTCAAGTTAATTGTGGATCACGAAGGCCAGTTGCCCATGCAACCTGCTGATATGTATGAAACATTACAAACACATCATTAGGAGACAAATTGTGAGTGTAAAAGGCTATTTTTTAAAGAGGTGGCTGAACTGTTTCTTAGTACATGTATTAGTTATATTATGCTCCTGCAGTTCCTTAGTTACCTGAAGAAATATGGATGAAATGCTGGTCATTCTGTGTGTGTCTGTGTGTGTCTGTCTGTCTATGATTTACTATATAATGTATAGTTTGCTTGCTAGCATGTTTTTTGACCTGTTGCAATTCTGTGGTTTGCACTTTATTTAGAAGTGTCAGTTCTGCTGGCCCAATCACAAAGAAAAACAAACAAACAAACAACAAGCTGTTGGTGACATTTTATTGGACTAACTAAAAAGAACAAAAATTGGCCTACAGACATAGAAAGATCTTCTGAAAGAGAATATTGGGTCTAGATTCTTAGCTGTGTAAATTGGCATCTGTCCTTGAATTCAGTGTAGCTGAGCTGGTTTATACCAACTGAGGATCTGGAATATTCCAATTATAATATCTCATGATTTTTTTTTTAAATTAAAAAGTATGTTTTGCTTTTGAATGGCTGCAAAACTTAATTAAACTCCGACCAGCTTTAATGAATTTGTTTTCATTAGTAGAACAAAGGGAAACACACTTTTTATCTCTTATTTGAGAATTCCATAAAAATAAATTGTTGGGAGAACGTTAAAATTGCATAGTTAAATATTCAAGTCAGGAAAAGCCAAAATTAAGGTTGCATGTGCCTTACGCATACACACACATGAACCCAGCACATTGCGACATTTATCCCTCTTGGGGGTACCAGAAGGGGCCAGAGTTCCTATGACTCCCAAAGTGGGGAGATACAACCAGACCACATTTCCCCCAACCGCCCCTTGGTCCTGTCTCCACAGTCCATCCACCTTCTGAGATAAGTCTTCTGCTGCTGCCAGCTACCAAAGTTAGTCCTGAAGCTCAAGTAGTAGCAGTGCTGAAGGTTCAGGGTTCAGAGCCTGCTGATGAAACATGATCAGAGGCTTGTTACAGTCAACCCTCGGAAATTTCATACCAAAAGCCTGTGTTAAAATAATGTTATTGAGTTTGCTAAGTCAAGCCTTTGAAAGTTAGGGAATGCCAGTATTTAGGTTGCCTGTGCAAGCTTAATTCAGATCCCTTGAGCGGGGGGCTAGGGGGGCGGAAGGAGAGGGACACCTTGGGTGAGCAGCTGGGGGTGTCCCATTTTCTCTTTGGGAAATATGGTCACCCTGTAGCTCCCAGCCGCCCCCCTGCAGCTTTCAGCTGCTGCGGGAAGAGGGGGAACCCTACAGCTCCCAGCCACCACAGTGGCAGGGGAAACCATGGACCCGCAGCAGCAAAAGTCATAGACAGGTCACGGCTTCCGTGAATTTTTGTTTATTGCCTGTGACCTGGCTGTGACTTTTTTACTAAAAATAACCTTGACAAAATCTTAGCCTTACCTATAAGTAAAACAGGGCCAAAACTATGAACTAGAAGAGAGGCAGCATGTTCCAGTGAACAGAACATGGCACTAGTGGTCAAGACTTATGTGTGCTCTTCCTGACTGCTACAGACTCACTGTGTGACCTTGGGTGAGTCACTTACTTTCTTTGTGTCTCAGCTTCCAGTGTGTAAAATGAATGGATACCAATCTTTTGTGAATCACTTTGGGAGCTACAGATGAAAACCACTATATGAAGGCTAAGGTTTGTTATATATTGCATAAATCAGCATCTGTACCAGATTACTGGAGGATAGCTAATGTAATGCCAATGTTTAAAAAAGGCTCCAAAGGTGATGCTGGCAATTACAGATCAGTTAGCCTGACTTCAGTACCAGGAAAATTGTTTGAAACTAGTAAAGAACAGAATTATCAGACACATAAATTAGCATGATATGTTGGGGAAGAGTCAACACAGCTTTTGTAAAGGGAAATCATGCCTCACCAATCTACTAGAATTCTTTGAGGCAATCAGCAAGGGTGATCCAGTTGATATTGTGTACTTGGACTTTCAGAAGGCTTTTGACAGGGTCCCACACCAAAGGCTCTTAAGCAAAGTGAGGAGTCATGAGATAAGATGGAAGGTCCTCTCATGGGTCAGTAACTGGTTAAAAGATCAGAAACAAATGGTAGGACTAAAGATAAATAGTGGGGCCTCCAATGATCTGTCCTGGCACCAGTGCTATTCAACATATTATAAATGATCTAGAAAAGGGGATGAACAATAAGGTGGCAAAACTTGCAGATGATACAAAATTACTCAAAATAATTAAGTCTAAAGTTGACTGCGAAGAGTTACTAAGGGACCTCACTAAACTGGGTGACTGGGCAACAAAATGGCTGATGATATTCAGTGTTGATAAGTGCAAAGTAATGCACATTGGAAAACATAATCCCAACTATTTATACAAAATGATGGGGTCTAAATTAGCTGTCACCACTCAAGAAAGAGATCTTGGATTCATTGTGGATAGTTTTCTGCAAGCATCTGTTCAATATACAACTGCAGTCAAAAAAAAATCTAGCGGAATGTTAGGAACCATTAGGAAAGGATAGATAATAAGACAGAAAATATGATAATGCCCTATATAAATCCTTGGTACACCCACACCTTGAATATTGCATGCAGTTCTGGACTCCCCATCTCAGAAAAGAGATATAAGAATTGGAAAAGGTACAGAGAAGAGCAACAAAAACGATTAAGGGTATGGAACAACTTCGACGTGAGAAGAGATTAAAAAGACTGGAACTGTGCATCTTACAAAAGAGATGACTAAGGGGTATATGGCAGAGGTCTGTAAAAACATGACTGGTGTGGAGAAAGTGAATGAGGAAGTGTTATTTACCCCTTCATATAACACAAGAACAAGGAGTCACCCAATGAAATTAATAGGCAGCAGATTTAAA